ATATATATAAACATATACACACACACATAATGCAGGTTTTTTGCTCCTTATAATCAAATTCTAAATTAAAATCTTCTTTTTTGATTCCAATCAGTTTTATATCATTTATTAAGTTCAGGGAGCCTAATAATCCCTGCAGCAAACTGCATTGGTGTTGAGCTGAATCAGACTCACAGCAGTGACCAGACAGGACAGAGTAGAACGTCACCACAGGCTTTCCAAGACTGTCATCTTTACCAAGCTACAGCTCACTTCAGTGAACCCCTAGTGAGGAACTTCCCTTTATAATTAACTACTATTTAATGTAACATATAACTAATTTTAAAATACATTATATATGAAGACTAGTAATTAATCCTGAAATGCCAACAGAATATGAATAAAATGAAAACCATATACTATTTTGTCATAATGTCAGTGTCAAGCAAAGATTAAGAATAATTCTTATTATAATTCAAGAATAGGCTAACTAACTAAATAGCCCAGAAGTCAGATACAGATACTGTACTATTTTTTGTACCAACCTCAAAACAAAGAACTTTTTAAACATTATTTAAAAAAAGTAGAAATAGTCTACAGCCTGCAAACCTTAAATTATTTACTACCTTGCCCTTTGCAGAAAAATAAAAATTGTTAAAAACAATAAAATTTTAATTTGAAAGTTACAGCTGCTACAATTACCACTATCTACAAGCTCTCATTTCCCAACAATTTACAGTTTAAGAAAACGCAAATCCGTAAACCTCAGAGACTATGAGCCACACACAGGTCTCTATTGAAAGAGGCAGGGAACGCTGCACCCTGTGTCTGGGTCCTAGAACCCTGAAGTCTTGGTCCAAATGGACCGTGCCAATGATAGGCTGGCTAGGAAGCAGCCTGGTGTTCTGGTATTAACTAACCAGTTAATTCTGGCACTGTTAGGTTAATGCGTCAGACTGAAAAGCCGTCTCACCTGCAAGGTCGGCGGTTCAAGCTCACCAGCTGCTCCTTAGAAACCCTAACAGGGTCGCTATGGGTTGTAATCGACTCGACAGCACTTCACAACAACAACCAGTTAATTCAGATCTTGCCTTTTAGACAGCTTGATCATAAGACCCGTGAAAAAGCTGAGACACCAGAGCTGTGCAAAAGTTGAGGGAAGCCACAAATACAGGGCTTCTGTCAAGCTGTGGTGCAGACAGACAAGTAGAGCAAGTATCATTAGGCATCTGAGGACAGCCTCTACATTGGTGACGAATCTTAAAAATCAGACACTATCAGAAAATTTAAAACAGGAGAGGAGAGATAAGGAGCTCCAAAATCTAAACATGAGTCCAGACTAGGGAAAACAGAAAAGAATCCAAAGACTGAACATTTCCAAAATTGAAAGACATAAGTTTCCAGATTAAAAGGTCCCACTTAGATGTAAAACTATTAATAAAAAACAGATCTCACCGAAGACATAT